GGGCTGGGTTTGAACCCACCACCTCCGGTATATGAGGCTGGCGCCCTACTCCTTGTGCCACAGGTGCCACCATTTAATTCTTATAATAACCCTTATTAAAAACTTTTTTTAGGGCAGCACCTGTGGTTCAGTGGGTAGGGTGCTGGCCCCATATACCAAGGGTGGCAGGTTCAAACCCAGCCCTGCCCAAACTGCAACAAAAATAGCCGGGTGTTGCGACGGGTGCCTGCAGTCCCAGCTACTCAGGAGGCTGAGGCAGGAGAGTTGCCTAAGCCCAGGAGTTGGAGGTTGCTGTGAGCTGTGACACCACAGCACTCTACCAAGGGCGATAAAGTGAGACTCTGTCTCTTTTTTTTTTTTGACTCTGTCTCTTAAAAAAAAAACAAAAAAACTTTTTTTTACATAAACTAACCTATTTAATATAGACTAATGACATCTGTAAAGGTAGAGCTTCTATTGGTTTTTCAATTACTTCAGTCTTCTGATGGAGGACTTTACTATGACATCAGAAGTGATGTTATAGATCCAGCCACCACCAGCTACTGTTTTAATAAAGGAAGCATACTGCCAGATCCCCACAGCTCATCTCTTCAACTTGGATTTGCCACAGAAGGAGAAAACGTACTTAGGGTACTGACTGATTTCAATTTCTTCACCATTTTCTGAAGGGTGGCACCATAGCAAGTCCCATATTTACCAATGATCCTGACCTTCTTGGTGCATTTGAGCCTTGTTGCTGTGAAAAAGGGCCAAGCCCAGGAAGCAAAATAACTTTAATTTTAATCTTGTAGATAATATAGTTGGGTAGCAAGAATACATTTTTCTTTTTTCTTTTTTTCTTTTTTTTTTTGTAGAGACAGAGTCTTACTCTATCGCACTCAGTAGAGTGCTGTGGCATCACACTGCTCACAGCAATCTCCAACTCCTAGGCTTAGGCAATTCTCCTGCCTCAGCCTCCCCAGTAGCTGGGACTATAGGTGCCTGCCATAACGCCCGGCTATATTTTTGTTGCAGTTCAGCCAGGGCCAGGTTTGAACCCACCACCCTCGGTATATGGAGCTGGCACCCTACCCACTGAGCCACAGGAGCTGCCTGAAGAATATATTTTTTAAAAACACTTTTAACCAGGCTCAGTGGCTCACACCTGTAATCCCAGCACTCTGGGAGGCCAAAGCAGGTGGATCGCCTGACCTATGAGTTTGAGATCAGCCTGAGCCACAGCAAGACCCCCATCTCTAAAAATAGCCTGGTGTAGTGGCTGGTGCCTGTAGTACCAGCTACTGGGGAGTCTGAGGCAAGGGGATCACTTAAACCCAAGAATTTGAGGTTGCTGTGAGCTATGATGCCACAGCACTCTACCAAGGATGACAAGACTCTGTCTCAAAAAACAAATAAGTAAAAACATTTTTAATTTTCAAATAATTAGGAACTCACAGGAAGTTACAAAAAAGAAGAAACTCCCAGGAGAACTCCTGTACACTTTGCCCAGCTTCCCCCAACGGTAGTAACAACTTGGATAACTGTAGTAAAATATCAAGACTAGGAAATGGACATTAGTACAGTCTACAGAGCTTATTCAGATCCCACCAGCTTTACAAGCATTCATTTGCGTGTGTGCATGCACATGTGTGTACAGTTCTATGCAACCTTATTACACAAGTAATCAGGTAATTATGTAAATATCGTCACAATCAAGATACAGAACCATT